ATCCTTAAATTTCAACTATGCACTCAATTTTACTTTAGAAACAGCATGCATTATTTCTGGAAAGTAAAACTCACCTTAAGAATCCATTATATCAGTTATTTTCAACAATCTTGAAAAACACTCTAATGTCCTATGTAAATGCCCTTTGTAAATTTTAAAAGTCCCTGAAAGTTTTACATGCTTTTCTTTCCTTTAAGAAACAATATAGCTGAAATTATTGAAGTAGGGAAACAGGTGGTAAAAGATCTATAAAATCTCTTCTAACTCAAGAAATACAATCATTCGTAGAAAAACACTTACATCCCCACTGATGAAACCTTGGGAAATCTGAGTTAATCTTATACATGTACAGCTCCGAGCTTGGGATGCTTTCCCATGTAAACCCACCACCCCTCAAAGCCAATCTCAAGTCCCTCTGCCTCCCCACCTCTCCTTTGACTACCATCACCACACCAAGTACTCATCTCCCTGTGTCCTGCCACAATAGGGCACCAACATGAGACAATACCTATAATTAGCTTTGGCGCAAGGTTAGAAATTACTATGTCTTCCTGATTGTTTCGTATGTGTGATAGGTAGAATTTCAAGACACCACCACCCCCCCGCCCCCCGCAAAGTTCCCCACCTCTGGTGTACACACACCTTCTCCCAGTTATTCAAGCTAACATTAATCTAGCTACAGCCGTGAAGGAGTTTGCAGATGTAACTAAGGTCTCAAAACAACTGACCTTAAACACAGGCAATTATCCAGCTGGGCCTGCCCTAATCACATAGTCCTTTTTGGTTTTTGTTTTGTTTTTTTTTTTGAGAGATGGAGTCTTGCTCTGTTGCCCAGGCTGGAATGCACTGGTGCAATCATAGCTCACTGTTAACTGTTACCGAAAGCTCAAGGCACTTGTCCCTGAGGCCACATCAGAAAAACAAGAACAAGTGGTTTGAGGAGAAGGAAAGAGAAGTTTATTACTTTGCTGCAAAGGAAGAAGATGGAGACTCTTGTCTGAAATGCCATCATCCTAATAATAATAAGCAGAAATACAGAGCTTTTGAAGGCTGGACTCTCAGCTTCAGGCAATTGCTGTTCAACTACAGTTGGTGATTCTGATCATACCATCTCTGCTGAAGACAATCCCACCTAGGACCTCCCTCCACCAGTCTGGGCTGAGCCACCTCCTATAGCACAAATAACAAAAGACTTACCCTGGCCCTCCCAACCACTGGCCTGAGGCAGGGCTGTAGGCTTTAGTTCTCAAGGAGTGGAGGATGTTTTAAAGAAACAGAAAATATTTTTGCTGTTTTTTCAGGCCATTCCTTCTGTTACATATTCCCCACTGTCAATATTTCCCTTCCATATCTATGGGTGAAGGGATGACTACTCTTTTATATTACCTCAAACTCTTGGGCTCAAGTGATCTTCCTGCCTTAGCCTCCTGAGTAAGCTATAGGCATAGTAGGACACTATAGATGCGTGCCACCACGTCTGGCTAATTTTTTTTATCTTTTTGTAGAGATGAGCGTCTCACTAATTTGCCCAGGCTGGTCTCGAACTCCCAGAAATCTTCCCACTTTAGTCTCCCGAAGTGCTGGGATTATAGGCATGAGCCACCATGCCTGGCCACATAAATCCTTTAAATCTGAGTCCAGAGGTCAGCAATAAGAGAATTCTGAGATATCTGAAGCATGAGAAGGACTGGACACAAGGGATATTCTCCACAGCCAGCTTTGAAGATGGACAAGGCCGTGTGGCAAGGGACATGCGCAGGGTCTGGCAGCCAGCTAGCAGACAGGGACCCACAGGCCCCAGACCCCAGAAGAACAGAATTCCGCCAACAACCTGAATGAGCCTGGACTCAAATTTTTCCCCCGAGTCTTCAGCCCAGCCAGCACACTGATTTCTGCTTCGTGGTACCCTGAGCAGAGTACCAGTCACGTTATGCCGGGATTTCTGACCCACAGAATCATGAACTAATAAATGGGTGTTATTTCAGCCACTAAATTTGTGGTAATTTGTAATGGTAGCAGCAGAAAACTAAACAATGTACATACGTCATTCTCTCCTCCTGGGAGGGTGGAGACAAGCTATAACCCTTTGAAATGTCTTAAGTATATTGCTGGGGACATGCCAGAAACACAGTACAATAAATTCTTGCTGATTGAACCAAACTGAAATAGAACAGGAAAGCTGAGCAAGGGACACAGATGAGGGTCACCTCAGGAAGATTCCAGGCAGCCCTCAGGGCAGTACTGTGCTAATGCCTGCATTTGCTGTGGAACAGGGAACCAGGGTGGAAGGATTAGAGCAAGACAAAAAACTGAAAACTCCTTCCCGGAGACAGAAGCCAAGTTTTTTCCTTCCTCGTAAGGGTGGAAATGGGGTAACTTGCTGTTACATATCTTTAGCTAAACACCAGCTGGGTTTAAGACGAGAAGAGAAAAGACAAAAGAACTCACAATTTCAGGAAGTGTCCTGTTCTTCCAGCCTCTCCATAGGCTGCTGCTCAGATATAGAAGACCCCAAGGGAGCATCTAGGCAGCCTTCCCCTTAGTGAGAGCCCTGAGGCCATCAGAGTTGTGATTGCCACCACATTGATTAGGAATTTCCAGCCTGCTGAAGGTATCTGGCTACTCTCTGAAGCTTGTTGTAGGGTGAGTTGATCAATGTTACCTTTGGGGTCAAAACAATGGTCCCTCCCAATATGTATGGACTATATTCCTTGGTCCTGAAACAACTGGGTATCAAAACATACCATTTGCATACTGGGAGAAAGTACTCAAATGTATTTATCTGGCAAAGGACTCCAATCAAGAATAAGAAAGAACTCCTACACATCAACAATTTTAAAAAGCTCTATTAGAAAACATAATCGGGAACTTCACAAAAGATTTTGGATTGGTCAATAAGAGTACAAAAAGGTGACTGATATCATTAGCCATTCAAAAAACAAATTAAAACAATGACATACTACTACACAGAATGGCTACTCAACAGAATGGCTAAAATTTAAAGACTGACAATGCTATGTATTGTTGAGGATGTAGAGCAACTGGAACTCTCATACTTTGCTGGTGAGAATGCAAAAACAGTACCACCACTTTGGGAAATACTGTTTAATAGTTTCTCAGTGTGCCTACCTCTGACCCAGCAATTCTACTACTACCCACGAGAAATGAAAGCATATATCCACTACTTGTATAAGAATGTTCAGAGCAGCTTATGCATAAAGCCAAAATCTGTAAACAACTCAAATGTCCATCAGGGACGGTACATTTATACAATGCATCAGATATACTGAATGAATGACTCTCAAAAACATTGTTTTAAAAAGGGACCCAGACAGACACAAAAGAGCATGTTCTATATGATAACTTACATTATGTTTGAAACCAGACCAAGTCAATCTATTGTGAGAGATGGCAGAACAGTAGTTACCTCTGTCAGGGAGGTAAGAGAGTACTGACAAGGGAGGGTCACCAGGCAATTTTGTGGACTCTTAGAAATGTTCTATCTGGGTGATGGCCATGCGTGTATACATATGTTAGTCTTAAGATTTGTGCATTGTACCTTATGTAATTGAGTACTGTAGTACTCAATAAAGTACTACAAAGGAAAAAAAAAAAAACACTACCAATTACCTGTGGAAGAAAGGACAGGTAGTTAACATTTCGAGAACAGCTGCTGACTGGGTGAATGATACCACCCATATGCTGAGGAGCACAAAGTAACACACTCCATCTACGCTCTCTTTTTTTTTTTTTTTTTTTTGAGACAGAGTCTCACTGTGTTGCCTGGGCTAGAGTGAGTGCCGTGGCATCAGCCTAGCTCACAGCAACCTCAAACTCCTGGGCTCAAGCGATCCTCCTGCCTCAGCCTCCCGAGTAGCTGGGTCTACAGGCATGCGCCACCATGCCCGGCTAATTTTTTTCTATATATTTTTAGTTGTCCAATTAATTTCTTTCTAATTTTAGTAGAGACGGGGTCTCGCTCTTGCTCAGGCTGGTCTTGAACTCCTGAGCTCAAACAATCCGCCCGCCTCGGCCTCCCAGAGAGCTAGGATTACAGGCGTGAGCCACCGCGCCCGGCTCATCTACGCTCTCTTATTGCTTTGAATTAATACAGGAGCCAGAGAAAACACTAATCTAATCAAGCCACTCTGCTGAAAATCCTTTGCTGGAATTGTGGAGCCTATATTGCCCAGATTTTCTGAGGCCTGAGCCAAGCGCTGAGCTCAGTGCTTTACAAACATTATTTCATATACCTTTAACAACCCCATAAGGTAAGACCAAGCTCACTTTATTTACTTATTTATTTATTTATTTTATTTTCTGTAGAGACAGGGTCTCGCTCTGTTGCCCAGGCTGGTCTAGAACTCCTGGCTGCAAGCAATCCTCCCAAATTGGCCTCCCAAAGTGCTGGGATTACCGGTGTGAGCCGCCGCACGCGCCCCAAACCCACTTTAGGATGGGGAAACCAAGGGTCGAAAAGCACTTTGCTCAGGATGAGGGAAGTCATACATATCAACACATCTTTGTGTGCATCCATGGAGGACATTAAGTTGCTATGCATGTCAAAGATACTTGGTAAATGTCTGTAGAATGGACGAGGGGGTACAGGCTCACTTACGAATGACACTCAGAAAAGTCCTGGGCCTCGCCCTACTAGGCAATAATAACCTCCCCACCTCCTTCTCTCTCCTCCCTATACAAGACGAGTAATTCTTTAACCAAAATCCCTGTGCCCAAGCTAAAGAAAAAACTACTCATTTACACCACGAGCCAACATGTGTCTCAGCACTAGAGCCCGCACGCACACCTCCAGGCCCTGCGCACGCGCCCTCGCTCGGCTCCGCCCCTCCCGGCCCAGCGCACGCGCTCTTGCTCGGCTCCGCCCCCGCCCCGCCCCCTCCGCTCCGCGCACGCGCTGGGGCAGACTAGGAGCGGATGGCGTACCTGCGCAAAGCTGGAGGCGGATGTTTTTTTCTTCTTACTGGCGCTATAGCCCCCGCCGCTACTGCCGTTGTGGGAAGGACTGGCCGGCCTCTTCTTGCTGTTCCGGACTATCCCGGGAGTGGAAGTGGTGGCCACAATTGGAATTTGAGCCGCCATTCCACCCGTAGTCTTCCTCCTAGTTCCCCGCCCCCACCTCTTTCCCAGGGCGGGCCCTGGAACTTCCGGCGCTCTGTTACTTCCGTCTTGGCGCTTGAAAACCCGGCCTGGACTCGTCATCCTTTCTGACTTCTCTTGGTGCAATCTAAAAGGCGGAGCTCGGATCATCCCATTCCGTCAGGGCGGGAAGGTGTCAGCTGGGTGATGTCTTGCTACTTAGGCGCTCTGAACCTGGCCCCTGGGGCATGTGCTTGGAAATGCCCAGTGGTAGAGAAATAGAACATCTCCCGATCATTTTACATAACTATGTTTTTTTATAATTTATAAGCATGTTATCTTCTCTCACATTAAAGCAGAAGGTTGATCATTTTTGTCTGTAAGAGTAACAGTAGGGTCTTTCTCAGTGGACTAGACAGACCGCCAAGCTATCAGCTTTACTCTTGGTCGCTGCCTTCCCACGCGGAATAAATTTGTGTATAAATAGTGCCCAAGTGGACTTGAAGGGTAGAGTGGTTCTTAGTCTTTAGGAGTCACAGGTCCCTTTGAGCATGGAAGCTTTGCTTCCTCTAACCCCAGCCCATCCCCACCCCTACAAATGTATACACAGACAAAATGTTACATACACATATCAGGGAAGTCACAGATATGCTAAAAACCTACTTATGAACTTAAGTGACCCTGCACTGTTCTTTGCCTCATTCTACCCTATACTTATTCAGAACCTTTATGACATTACTGAATGGTTTATAATTGGGTGGTTAATGTCTTTCTTGGCTCCTGTTAGAATGTAATCTCTGTGAGGGTAGGGCTGGTTATGTCTTAATGACTTATCTGTCCCCAGTCACAGTTCCTTGCAAGTCATTGGTACGTTATAAGTATTTTTTTAATGAAGTGATTAATAAATGAACGAACTCCCTGAGTGAATAGTTGGAAGCAACTGTGTTGTAATACAGGAAAGTCGTGTATACGAATCTGGATATTTGAAATACACTGCAGAATGACTTAGAGGTGAGAGAGAGAGCAGTTAGGGAAACTAGCAATACAGTTACTGACATCTTTTTCCCTTTGGAATAACCTGTTGAAATGTTCTCTCCCACACCCCATCTCCACCCCATCCTCACCTAAATCTAGTCTTTTCCTCATTCCTTATCTCAAGGATTCACACCTCCAACCAGCCGGTCACCTAAGCAAACCCTCTCTAGTGTCCTACCCTCTTCCCATTCCTCACCCCCTTCAGCTCATTTCCCTCCTTCATTGCTCCTGCTCTGCTGAATCCATCTCCTGTGTTTGCATCCTGCAACAGCCTCCAGGTGGAAGTTTGGACCTCCCTCTTTTCCTAATCCATCCCTCACCCCAGACCATCATCCTTCACACTGGCTGTCAAAATGAGCTTTCTAAGTCACAAATCTAATCATACTAATTACTTTCTTAGTCTTGAGGGCCCTTTTACCTTCAGGGTAAAATCCAAAGAATGTTTTAGCTTGTTGTATAAGCTCTTTGATAACTGGGCTCTGCCCTCCTGTCTTGATTAATTCTCAACACTTGTGTCCCAGCCAGGGACTAACTCTATTTCAGTGTTCAATAATTCTATAACAATGTACATTCTTTTGCGTCATTATCTGTTAGTCTCCATTATTTCCTCTCCTGGGAATGCTTAGCTCCTTGCCTGGTTACTGTGCATTTTGCCTTAGTTCAGATTCTACTTCCAATGAAAAGCTTTCTGCCACCTGATGGCCCCTCCATCCCCTTCCCCTTCCCTATCCTCATGTTGTGCACACATGAAATTCTTCCCTTAGTATCTGAAACACCACCATCCTTCTGTTTTCTTCCATCCTAACCACTGGCCATCCTTTGACAGTTGTCTTCTTTTACCAAATTGTTCCTAATGCTATGACATGTTTTTCAAAATACAGGTTACGTAGTCACATCCCCCTGCAGATACACATTTTAAAAGTTTCCCGGATGATTCTAATGATCAGCCAGTTTTGGAACCAGGCTCTTCCTGCTCAGTCCTTACACATTGAGAATCTGTTGGTGCTGGGTCCAAGGCCCTTTGCTCTTCTCAGTCTATATACTCCCCCTAGCCATTTCACCCAATTCTTGGGGCTTCAGTTACCATCTAATGCAAACCACTTTCAGATTTGTGTTTCTTATCTGGCTCTTTCTCCAAAAATGCATAGTCAGATATAAAATTCCCTGCCCAGATATAAACTTAGATGCTTACAGGCATCTTGCACTCAACATGGCAAAAACAGAATTCATCATCCCCTCTGCTGCTCTAAAACGTGCTCCTCCTTCAGTGTTTCCTATCACAGTAAATGCCACTATTATCCACCAGTTGTTCAGACAAAAAACCTGGACTTGCACCTTGTCTGTGAGTTGTCTCCGTGCTTCCACCTTTGGTCCTCCAGCCCAGTCACTACAAATGATTTGCAGTGATCTCTCTGAGGATACAAATGTGCATTTTGGGGATCCTATCCCCTTCTTGAAACCCTTCAGTGTCTTCCCATGGTTCCAGAGGTCTTCAGAGACCTACTATCTCTCCAGCCTTGCCTCTGCCCCAGATCCCTGCATTCTTGCTCAGTTTTCACTTGTATTAGTTCCAACAACCAGCTATGTCCCTCCTCCCTCGGGCTTGACACACATTGCTCCTCCTGCCTGGAAGCTGCTTTTCTCCCAATACCACCCTACTCCAGTCTCACTAACTTGCACGCACCCTTCCTATCTTGGCTGACACTGACACGCTCTTTTCAGCGTTCCCTATCCCTCTGGTGTGGTTCCATGTTCCCATACGCCTCAGTCATCAAGACCTATTGATTGCCTTTTTGGTTTTTGGTTTTTGGGGTATCTTTAGAGACAGGGTCTCACTCTGTTGTCCAGGTTATACTCAAACTCCTGGGCTTGAGATCTTCCTGCCTCAGCCTCCAACTAGCTGGGACTACAGGCAGCAGTTGCTGCACCCTGGCTTATGATTACCTTTTACATGGACAAACAAAACAGAATAGTCCCTGCTCTCAGGGAGCCCCCAATCTAGTAGGGAAGGAAAGACATTATATTTGTCTTCTCAGCTGGACTTAAGCTTCCCGTGGGCAGTTGCCATAGTCATCAGGGATTGAGTGGCAAAGCATCAACACATGATAGCAACAAGGAGAGTGAGAGAAATACTAGAGGTCATCCACTCAAGAGAGCAGAAGCTCTGGGCTGAGGAGAAACCTGCTGTACACCCATCTCAGCAGCGCCAGTCACTGCCCAGTGTTGGCACATGCGGGGACTCCATACACTTTGCTGCATATGTAACTCAGGGGTTTACACATCCATTGGCAAAGATGAATTAACACTGATGACCTATATTCTGCTAGCATCTGTGTAGAGACAGGACCTAAGCCTCCCCTAAGTCCCCTCCCCAGTTATTCCTGAGAACTTGCAGGGTATGTCTCATCTCTGCTATCATGTGAGCCCTCTCAGGCACTTCCTCTTCAGCCTCCCTGCTGACACCTGCAGCTCCTGTGTCCCTCGCCAATGCCACACTTCCTTTGACAAAGGCTGCTGGGGCCTCCCCTGGAATGCTGATCCCCTGACTGGGATGCACCAGTTAACCAACCTCAGCCAGAGTCTTGATCCCAGTTAAAACTTAATGATCAAGAACAAATAATGTGCTTGCTAAGATGCCCCCTCTCATTGGAGACATAGAGTGACTAGTTTATTGTCTCTCAAAAATCTCGGGAAACACAGTGGATATTTGGGATTATGCTGCCACTGAATGGAAGACACGCTGCCCATCTTCTCTTGATATATGCTAGTCATGTTCACTGTATGAAAAATGGCCATTCCAGTTGTTATGGGACTCCTCGATGACAGAGAAACCTAGAAGCTGCTGCAGTCAAGACCCTCAAAATCCCCAACTCACAGCCACAGAAAGAGGCAGCACATTGTGTACTGCAACTTCTGAGCTGTGGGGCTGTGCAGCCAGAAACAAACCCACTGCAACAAGGAGCTGATGGAGACCCTCCAAGACGGGGCACAGTCCTCTTGGGAGTATGAGAACATCTCTTGTTCTTGGGATACCATCTCTAAAGAACCTTCTGGAAATAGCCTGTTTCCTTCATCCCAGTCCAAAGTATATCATGTGGTAAATATTTGTGGGTCATAAGCTCATTTGGGCAGAAACAGTTTCTTCTCTATCACTGTTTTCAGAGTACTGCAAACCCTCAGTGACAATCTGCTGAGAGCCTCATTATTTAAACAATCAGTATCTACAAGGAGAGAGCTCAGGCCAGTGGGGGCTGGGGAGGGGCCTTTGCTCACTTAGTTGCTTGCTTATTTCTCGCCTGACAGATGCATGGAAATATTTAAAGGCTGGAGAGAGGGTGATTGAAAATAGGCCTGACCCTGCCATTTGCAGGATCCAGGGCAAGAATACAAGCAGAGGCCTACCTACCATATGCCTTGATATTTAAATGTGCAAATCAAGCTAATAAAATGTAAAATAAAATATGTTCTACCCTCCTAGCTTGGCAAATGTACCTTCATAAGTCAGGGCCAGAGTTGGATTTAGAATGTTCAGATTTCTTGGAGTTCTGCTCAGAATATGGTATCATGGAGAGAGCTGTCCCAGCTCTGAGCCCCCACTTCACGCCTTGGTCCTCAGGGGATCAAAAGGGGACATGTGTGCACACGTGTAGAAACCCCAGCCTACACATCCAAGCTTCATCCATCCTCTTCTCCACCCCCATAAACTGCCTCCATTGACCACCTCTCAGGCCTTTGAGAATACACATCAAACCCAGGGCCGAGGTCTGCGGAGGTCCTGCCAGAGGGGCAAAGGGCCATTTAAGCAGGAGATTCTGGAGTCCCCAGTACCCAGAGAATGTTATGAAACAGGGAAGCGTGGACCTGAGTGGGCATGTTTCCCTGTCCCCACAGACTCCTCGCTCGGCGCAGAAGGGCAGAGCCAGAAGAGGGCCCTCCTGCCCAGGCTGGAGAGTCACCTGTAGCCTGAGTAGGAAGACACCAGATGAGGAGCACCAGTGAGGGGCAGGGAGCTCCGGCCTCCTTTACAGCTGAAATGGCACAGGGAGAGCCAGGTCCTGGAAGGGATAAAGTTGAAGT